GACTCGATGGCACAGAACAACAACAATGCAAAACTTACACTTGGACCAAGAGGCAGCTGGCAGAAAGGAGCAAGGAGACACTACATAGTTCAAAATCAGGAAGGGAGTTCATCAGGGATGTATTCTGTCTCCATACCTTTTCAATCTGTATGCAGAACAGATCATCCGAGATGCTGGGCTATACAAAGAGGAATGTGGCATCAGGATTGGTGGAAGAATCATCAACAACCTGCATTATGCAGATGACACAACCCTGCTGGCTGAAACTGAGGAGGACCTGAAGCACTTGCTGCAGAAGATCAAGGACGACAGCCTCCTATGTGGACTGAAGGGACCTGAAGCGCTTGCTTCAGAAGATCAAGGACTACAGCCTCCTATATGGGCTGAAGCTCAACATCAAGAAAACAGAGATTCTAACCACTGGGCCAATTGGCAGCATGAGTATGGATGGTGAAGAGATTGAGAGAGTTAACAGTTTTAATTTACTTGACTCCACAGTAAACACTCTTGGTAACAGCAGCCAGGAAATCAAGAGACAAATTGCATTGGGTAAGGTGGCTGTGAGGGACCTCTCGAGAGTACCGAAGAGCAACGATGTCAGACTGGAGACTAAGGTGCTCCTGATCCAGGCTATAGTCTTCACAATTATGTGCTATGCATCAGAGAGTTGGACAGTGAATAGGGTTGATAGAAAGAGAATTGACACCTTTGAGCTGTGGTGCTGGAGAAGAGTGTTAAATATACCATGGACTGCTAGGAGAACAAATGGGTTTGTCCTGGAGAGGGTGAAGCCAGAATGTTCTCTGGAGTCAAGGATTCTGATGACATATTTTGGGCATGTTGCAAGGAGGGAATATCCTTGGAGAGGGGCATCATGTTTGGCAGAGTGGAGGGGCGGTGAAGGAGAGGAAGACCTTTGATGAGATGGATCGATTCTGTGACTGGAGAGGTGGGAATAAGTGCATTTGAGATGGCTAGGTTGGCACAGGATAGAAGAGCGTATAGAGCTCTTGTACATAGGGTTGCTATGAGTCACAAGCGACTCGATGGCACATAACAACAACAACAACAGGAATTGATGGAATACCATTTAAGGTGTTTCAAAAAACAGAAGCAGTGACTTGATCACTAGTCTATGCAAAGAAATTTGGAAGACCTGCCAAGTGATTGAAAGAGATTCATATTTGTTTCCATTCCAAAAAAAGGGTGAATGTGGAAATTATCAAATAACATCATTAATAACACTTGCAAGTGAAATTTTGCTGAAGATCATTCAAAACATGTTAGAACAGTACACTGACAGGGAACTACCAGAAATTCAAGCTGGATTCAGAAGAGGCTGTGGCATGAGTGATATCACTGCTGATGTCAGATGGATCTTGGCTGAAATCAGAGAATATCTGAAAGATGTTTAATTTTGTTTTATTGACTATACAAAGATGTTTGTGTGAAACCTAACAAATAATGGATAACACGAAGAAGAATAGGAATCTCACAATATTTCTTTTTGAGCATGTGACTCTTACAACAGGAAGCCACTGCCGGATCAGAATGAGGTTACATTGCATGATTTAAAATCAGGAGAGGTGTGTCTGGTGGCATCCTTTCTCCATATGTATTCAACCTGTATGCTTAGCAAATCATATCCATGGTAGCAGCAGTTAAGAAAACAAAAGATTGAGCAAATATGTTGTCAAGGACCTCTCAAAACTGCTAAAGTGCAAAGCTGCCCATTTAAAGATGAAGGTGCACTGGATCCAAGCCATGGTATTTTCAATTTCTCTCAATGCATCTGACAATTGTACAATAAACTATGATGACAGAAGAACTGATGACTTTGAATTGTGGTACTGGAGAAGAGTACTGAATATGACATGAGCAAACAAATCTAGCTTGGAGAAAGTGCAACCAGGGTGCTTCTTAGAGGCAAGGATGGTGAAACATTGTCTCAAATACTATGGTCATGTTATCAAGAGGGGCCAATCCTTGGAAAGAAACATGCTGGGAAAGGTGGAGGGCTAGAAAAGAAGAAGCTGACATTCAGCAAGATGTACTGATACAGTGACTATAACAATGAACCTGAACATGGCAGAGACCATGAAGATGGTGCAGGATATGGCAAGAATCAGATCTATTGTTGATAGGGTCACTATGACTTGTTGACACCTAACAACAACAAAACCTATTTCCATATAGTTGACTCTGACTCCTAGTGACCCTACAGAACAAAGTGGAATTTCTCATAGGGCTTCTAAAACTGTAAACTTTACAGGAACAGAGTACTATTATTTTTCTCCTGAGGAGAAACTAGTGGCTTCAAATATTTTGATTCATTGACAAATACTTAAATTCTGTGCCACTATCACTTCTAAGAAACATAGTGCCCTGCTAAGAACTGCAAAAATATGTGAACTGAAGAGTACACTGTAAAATAAAGGCTGTCATTAAATGTCTCTGAAAAGGTTTCCATCCTACTAAAAATAAATACTGAATTTCATATTTATCTTGGTACAGCAAGTTCCCAAAGCAAGATACCTAAGTCAGTTTTGCAATTACATTTTTCACAATTACCTGGACTTTGAGTTTTGCTGCATCCATCTTTTTGCGGAACTCCTTCTGTAATTTCACTTTCAAAGCAACATCAGAAAGATCTCTGCTTTCCAGTTCCTGCAGCTTCTTCTGGGTTTCAGTTAATTCCACTTTTGCCTGTTCTGCTTCACGTTCTAGTTTTGTTACTTTCAGAGAATACTGTTTGCTTATAGACTTGGCATCATTACCTTTACCATAATAAAAACAATTTTTTATTATGCTTAAAAAAATAAAAACATAAAGTAATGAACTCTGAAAAAATCCAGTTTGCAGTGTTAGTGCCTAGCATTAAAACCCAGGGGGCCCCACCATCCAGCACCAATACATGTGGCTAAGCGGTCTCTTAATGATTCCTTCTGGACTTGGAAAGGCTATTCCTTGGAAAGTTACATCATGCTTCGAAATGTGGAGTGTCAACAAAAGAAAGGAAAACTCAACACTATAGATTGACACAGTGACTGCAGCAATGGGTCCAAGTGTGTCAGAAATGGTAAGGTGGCACAGCATAGGACACAGTTCAGGTCTGTTGTTACAGGGTTGCTATGAGTCATACTTGACTTGATGGCACCTAACAACAATCATTCATCATTAGTGTGGCATTTCTAATCTCCTGAATTTTCAGGTTAGCTTTGCTGACAATGAACTCTAATCTAGACGGATGTTGAGAACGACTCTTGGGTTCTGTTTTTAATTTGCTGCTATCTGTACACTACCTCCTTTAATTCTTCACAATATTATAAAAAATTTTAAACATGACAAGTATGTAAATAAAATGATGAACCCTCATCACCAAAATGTAAGTTTTATCAAGATATTGCTTCATTTATGCCTGTTCTTGTTCTGTTTTACTTTGCCTAAGCACTATAAAGAAAATTCTAGATGCCATATCATTTCACCTATGCATATTGCAGCTAACAGCTATGGAAAATGTGATTATAACCAAAAATTCCTTTTCATGCCTAACATTATTAATACCTCCTAAGACCCCAGATGAGATGGACTGATATAGTAACTGGGGCAAAGGGAGTTGGTTTGTTGGAATCAGTGAGACTGGCTCAGGACAGGGCAGGGTTCAGAGCTCCTGTACATAGGCTTGCTATGGGTTGCAGGTGACTCAACAGTACATAACTACAAGAAGCCTGTATTTACACTTCCCCAGTTGTCACAAAAATGCTTTACAAAAGCTTCATTCTAATGAGAATCCAACTGTCTCAAAAATATATTTATGATTGCTTCATTTTAATCAGGATCCAACCAAGGTCAACAGTACCTCTGATTATTATATTCCTTCAGAATCTTTTCATGTGAAGCTGACCACTTCCTCTTTTTGGTTCATCAACTTACTGAAGATGAATTCTTTTTAAAATGCTTTTCTTACAGATTTAAAACATAAAGCCAGACAATAAAATTTATTTATGTATTGTAGTGTTAGCATAAAGTTTGGCTTTTTAAAGCCATTAGTTAGCCCCCTCTGATCTCCAGCTACCTCAACAGCACACACATGGTCTTGCAAATCATCAACAAATGTGTGACTAGGATAAGAGAAAGAGTGCATTTCCATACATAGGTAGCAAAATCTGAGGCAAGGAAGACTTGTGGTGGCAAGACTTGAGGGAGAATGGAGCAGACCCTTTTGGCAAGACCCTGGTAATGGTGTTGGAGAGACTGTGGCATGCTGTGGAGAAACTGTGGCAAGGTGTAAGCAGAAAAGCCCTGAGATAAAGGCCACATGCGTTTGCTGTTCTTGCCTGATATTTGAAGGAGAAGCTGACTTATAATTTCCTGGATGCTTATTTGCTTGGAGGCAAACCTTGCTGGATGATTTGGATTTGACTGCTGAACTGAAACCAGAGCCTGGACCAATTGAGGAATTGTGCCTTAGAACTGTTGGGCTAAGACTTAGACTTGTTTTGGGTAATATTCTTTTCCTCCCTTACTCTCCCAATTTCCTTCCCTAATAAACCTCCCTTCTTAGTACCACAACTGTAAGTCTGTAAGTTGTTGTTGTTGTTGTTGTTATGTGCCGTCGAGTCGTTTGCGACTCATAGCAACCCTATGTACAACAGCCCTAAACCCTGCTCTATCCTGTGCCAATCGCATTGCCTCTGACACACCCATTCCAATTACCCCAGTCACTGAATCAATCCACCTCATAGAGGGTCTTCCCCTCCTGCGCTGTCCCTCTCTCTACCCAGCATGATATCCCTCTCCAAAGACCTGTCTCTCCTTGCAACATGTCCAAAGTATGTCAGACGAAGCCCCAGAATCTTTGCCTCCAAGGAGTAGCCTGGTTTAACCCTCTGAACCTCTTGCTTTTGGTATGGCTCTAAAGGCATGAAGGGGCTGGACTAAGAGCTCTTTATCTGCTTTCTCCTCTAGGGCAGTGAGGAGTTGTGCTATTCTCACTCCCTCTGGCCCTTTCAGAGAGGTGCTCATAGCCCTCTGCTTCTGTGTCCCATTTTCTAACCCTGAGATAGACAGACTCTCTCTCTCTCTGTTTTTAAAATAATTTTTTAATTTTTTATTTATTTTTTTTACAAAGGTTTTGGATTTCTATTCATTCATTGCCGCAATTTTCTCCCTTCCCACCCCTCCCCACCAGCTCGCTTCCCCCTCCAAAGAGAGAAAAAAAAAGAAAGAAAGAAAATTCCTTCATTAGTATAGAATTCCCACCTACTACTGACTCTGAAACTTGGTTTAGAAGTGTCCTTACGAACCAACTAACTGCCCCTGACCTAGACTAGGAAACTCGTTCTAGAGCAATATAGTTTGGTTTACCCTGGCAAGAACAACTCCTAGATGAAACAGAAGTCTAACAAACTTCTTTTGATAACTTCCCATATACTGGCTCTAAAACATGTTTTGTTAGTACAAATTCCAAGCTATGCTGAATAGTCATCAGCTTAATAAAGTAATGTTAATGTGACAACCTCAGAAGCAATTTTAAAAGTTCTATTTTAGAGATGCAAATTAAAACAACTATGAGATATCATTTCACCCCAGTCAAAATAGCAAAATTTAACA